TTGAGCTGTTGTTCAGCATCTTAGCTGTGGAGGGCAGTGTCACTGGCCCTCATATGTGGGATCCGAACCGGGGCCCTCTGGCGTCCCAAGCGAGTTCTTAACCATCGCGCCACTCGGCCGGCCCTGAAGTATGCTAACTCTTAATTGATTCTCATTTATTAGACATTCACATTGCTTACAGTTTCTTGCTACTGTAAACAGTGGTGACAAACATCCTTATAGATAAATCCATGCACACATTTATGATTATTTCCTTAAAACCAATTTATAGAAATGGAATTTGTGTCAAAGAAATGTATGTCCTTCCTATACATTTTTAACAATTAGTACAAAGAAATATACTAATATGTTTAAATTGTTCATGGCATAATTCCTTTCGATTACAGCATTGAGAAAACTTTCACAGTCCCTCTTAAAATGCTGTCCAGTTTCCCCAAATGTACTTTGAATATTATTTTAAATACCTGTACTCTTAAATCATGCAGTAAAGACTCCTGTTTAATGTTTAACTCAAGGTTTTCCAAATGTACTTGAATCCATGAGACACATTTTGTAATACACATAGTAATATCCCAAGGAAATCAATTTGATAAAAAATTCATTACTGTTAGTAATGAATGATTAATTCCAGATGTATAATTATTCCATTTATGTTGCATCAGCTGTACCACATACAATTAGTTACTAACTGATTTCTAGTTTAATTCCATTGTGGACAGAAAACATACTCTGAATAATTTCAGTCTTCTCTAATTTGCTGAGACTTTCTTTATGGTTGATTTTGGTAAATGGTCCATGTGCATTTGAAGAGATTGTAAATTTTGATGCTGTTGGGTATAGTGTCAATTAGATCAAGGTTGTTAATTGTGTTGTTCAATTCTATACAGACAGTACTTACTGATTTTGTCTGCCTCTTCTTTCAATTACTGAAAAGTGTTTTCAGGGCTCTCACTATGATTGTGGATTATTTATTTCTCCTTTCCCTGTCGAGTTTTGCTTTATATATTTTGAAGCTACATTACTGGATACATACTGATTCAGGGAAGTAATACTTTCCTGTTAAAATGACCTCTTCATTATTATGACCTATCCTTCTAATACTGCTTCAGGCCTTAAAGTCTACTTTGTCTAATAATAATGAAACCAGGTGTCTTTTGATTAGTGTTTCCATGGTATATTTCCCCCATTTTTTTACTTTAGCCTTTCTGGTCTTTATATTTAAGGGGATCTCTCTTGTAAGCAGCATACAGTCATGTTGTTGATTTTAATCAAGTCTTATAATCTTAAGGCTTTTATGTGATATATTTTGTCCTGTTACATTTCATGTAATTACTGTTACAGCTGTATTCATGTCTGCCATCCTATTACTTGTTTTCTAGTTTGTTCATCTGTTTAATGTTCCTTTTTACTCCTTTCTTGCCTTTCTTTGGATTAATCAAATATTTCTTAATTATCTAATTTTCTCTAGCATTTGTAACTAAAACTTTAAATTTTTCTATTAAGAAATAATACAGCACTAACCTTTAAACAATGTAAAGTATCATTTTTTGTGAACATCTTAAACTTAGTTAGTTCTCCAATAAAACGAACGGTTTTGTTCTTTGTTTCAATATTGATCTGGTCCTTTTTTCGTACCTACAAATTAAAAGAGACATTGCTTAGATAATTAACATTTTGAAATCTCTGTGGTAAGAACTATTATTATAATAAGACTGAATTCACTCCAAATATTTTAAATAAATTTCGATATAATTTCTTGCTAGTCAAATTGTTTTAAATTAAGGCAAAATAAGCTCTGTGGAACACCAGTGCCAGGGTGTGCTTTGTAAAACAGTTCCAATGTCAAATAATCTGGGGAAATAATGCATTTTATCAGGCTTAAAGAGGTTCTCAAATTAAGAAATCTGTTTAACTTAATTCAGTGCTTCTTAAATTTATTTAGCAACATAAGTACCCCCTTTTAAACATTAACAACTACTAGTTAACATCCCATTAAGATTATAAGGAACACACTTTAGGAAACGCTGTTCAAAAACAATGAATGCCAAGAGCTCATTTAAGCAAAATATTATTAAGACTCAGTGTTATAGTTACGAACTATATGCTGCACTTTTTATTATAAATTCATTACAATAAAATTTCCAATATAATCACTATTCTTTTTTATCACCAGCCACAGTCGTATATCAAAATTCAAATCCTTTGCAAATATAACCCCCTACTTAGGCACACATTTAAAGAAATATTGAATATGACAAAATCCTATTAGAACACTACAATGTGAACATACACCTCAAAATAAACGTAATTGGATTAAACTCAGAAATACATTTTCATCAGAAAACCAAATCTACAGACCTCACACTTCTATGTGAACAGCAATGACAATATGGTAGTGTCTAAAAGTGGTTTGATTTTTGCTTTTTCAGAACATTATCCTATATTATTTGTTCCACATAACAACATTCTGAGAACGGTACAACAGCTATGGAAATTCTGATTTAATAATTAAGATAATAACAACAACAAAAGAACACAAGGTTGTCAAATGACCTGACCAAGGGTCTCGACTCCTTTTACTTGAGAATTCCACTACACCAGCATGTGCTGGGGTTCCGGATTAAGGCCTAACCTCACCAAAGCTGGGCAATTAATGACAATCATGTATATAAATATTGAGACACCTAATACTTAAATGGACTTTATCTTCTTCATTTTTAAGGACCTACTTTCTATAGTATTCAGAGGTGGGCATTTAGACCCTTAGCTCTTTAGGAATATTTTTTAAACAAAACTATGTTTACTCATTTTTTAAAAATCAGAAAAAATGAGCTCACTGTAACTATTCACTCTAAAGCATCAATCAAACTGCATCAATTAAAAATAAAATCACAAAGACTCAACTTACAAGAACTTAATCACATCATTTAAACATACAAAATAGCTTTGGGATTAGAGACAAACAAAAAACAGAACTAATTAGATTCTAGTCTGTAATAGAAACAAAATTATATTGAATAAACTTGACTGTTTTAGCCTCGTAATTTAAAGAAGAGTAGAGCCTTTATAAAGACCCTTTCACAAATTAATATGTTTGATAAGCACTGCAAATGAAAAGCTCCTCTTATTAATTTATCTCATTTTGTGAGCTCCTAGGATAGATTGAGTGTAGACTCTGGACCAGATTTTCTGGGTTTAAATCTCAGCTCTCTCACTTACTGGCTGTGACTTAACTCTGTGCCTCAATTTCCTCATCTTTAAAATGGAACTAATAAAAGCAATCTGCCTCATAGGGCTGTTGTGAGTCTTAAGTGAATCGATACAAGTAAAGCACATACAGTAGTGCCTATGGGGACCAGGAAGAGTCCAGTAAGTATTAGCTATTATTAATTTTATCCATCTTTGTATATTTGTATCACTAATACATGGACACTGAATAAATGCTTGCTGACCAAACAAATAAACAAAAATGCTTTGTGTTTATATATGTATTGCAGTGATGCGAAAAGAAAAGATCTATGGTCAGAACACCTTATGGCCATTTTGTGCCATTTGGGGAGGTATATGATCTTGGACAATTCACATAAACTCCCTGAACCTGTTGGCTCACTTGGTAAAATAAAGATAAAAATAAGGATTATGATGATGATGATGGTGATGATGAAAACAACACTTAATACTAACAAGTAATGTACAGGACAAAAGATTATACAACTTTTAAAATGATGTTTAAGAAGTATTTCAAATGGCATTGTAAAAAGCTTCCTTCTCCAAATTTCAACCACAGTATATGTGAATGACTTCTCATTTTTATTACCTTTACTAATCTGTCAGTCAAATTAGAAAATACATTGTTTTAACTACTATATGAGATTTCACATAGTTTTGCTAACCAGCTTAATTTCTCAGGCGAAGATTCATAAGCAGGGAACAAATACAATCAGACTGTGACAATACGGTGGAGCTAGAAAGCAGAGACAGGGACACCTGGTTACAAAGCTATTCTCTTGATTCAGACTGTGGAGAGTGAAAGGCAGTGGTACTGGCTATGAGAGGACATGCTGGGTTTGAGGAAGTGTTTTAGATGACAGGATCAACAGAATCTGGTGACCACTGGCTCCTGAATGTCAGAAGAGGCAAAAGTAGAGGAATTTCTCTTAGTGATCAGATACAATATATTGCAAATTTACAGGGAGAATAGAGAAGTTGATGTGAAGAAGAGAAGGATAAAGACATTTTTAAGAAGAAAATAATGAATTTGTTTCATGAACAAATTTAGCTAGAAGTACATGAGAACTGACTACACATCAGGAGAGAGGTTCTAGCAAGAAGTATGTACTAGAGGTTGGAAACAGATGTTAACTGAACCCCAGGTAAAATGTGTTTCATCAAAAAGGAAGATGATGGAAGAAAGTCTGGGGAATACCGACATACAAACTCAGCTGGAAAAAAGAGCATAAGATATTGAAAATGGTAGTCATAAGTAAGAACTAGGAGAGAATGGCGATAGAGGGTTATTGCTATAATGATATCTACATCTGGGCACTGTGTGATCAACTTTATATGCATTACCTCATTTAATCCGTAAGAACAATCTTATTTTAAAAGATACAAGTACTGTCCCCATTTTAGGCAAGGAAACTGAAGTTTAAGAGCACTTAAGTAACTTGGCCAAAGTTATAGCACTTAGCATGTGGTGGAGACAGAATGATAGTTTGTAAAAAGCAGAAGAGTCTAGCAGTTTACAATCTGCAGAGACATCAAAAAACAGGAGGCGATAGGGAAGACACTGGTGGTCTCTGCCAGGGTGCTACGATGGCAAAACAAGGGGGAAACGTAACGTCAGAAGAAGAGACAAGCATACTCTAAAAACTCAAACAAGACGGAAATGAAAGAGAATATGGGGTGGAGGGGCAGTTGAAGGAAGTTTTCTTGTTGCTATTATTGTATTTTCATTTAAGGATGTGAGTGTTGAGCATATTTATGGCCTAATAAGTCACTGGCAAAGTGAGCAGATTTGGGGGTGGGGAAGGACAGGTCCTGGAGGAAGCAGAGATGATCAATGACCTCAAGTGCCCTTTCTTCTCTCCGCAGAGCAGTGATTACCAAAGTATACTCCTAGAATTCCCTCAACTCCCACCCCAATTTTCAAAGGTGGGAGGGGAAGTATACACGAATAGAGTTTTCTTGATTTTAACTTTTTCACCAAAAGCACTCATTATGTTTGGTCTAACAACATGTGTTTTGTTTAATTTTGGATTTGGTTGAGGGTGTATGCATATAACTCATATAATACAGTCATACTGCCCGCTAGTTAAGACAGTTTCTTGTTCGTATGTTGGGATGTAATATATCAACAAGAATATCATGACTTCTGATGCATCTGTCCTTGAACTAGCAGCATTTATCAAAGTGTGTTCTTTGAGTGACTACGTCTTCAACCCCCTTCAGAAGGTTCACGGTGCACGTTACCCTATCAAAGCTTTGAGAATTCTTATAGTAAAACAAAATCTAAACTGTTTAACCTCCTTGATCTCAGTGTTTCCGAACTTTAAACACACAAACCTGTCCTTGCTTTAATACTGTCAGTGAAAATCCAAAATGCACTTCACCAAAAGCTGGCCCAGAAAAATCTTAACCACAAGTCTCATAGTAACAAATCAACACCTATAGCAAGAAGCCCTTACAGCTCATCCCACCCATCTCTGAGACTTCCTCCTTCCTCTGAAAAGGTTCTCACTGGCGAACAAGTCATTTGGTAATTAATTAACCATGCAATTCGTTATACTGTGCAATATATTTAGGGTTCCACTTTTTATTTCCCTCTTGCTTTCGTGAGTATTTATGCCTTATCTCCCCAACTATATCGTGAGATTCCTGACCTCAGGAATTGTTTGAGCGCTCAGCAATACTGCTTTGTGTACAGCGAGTGCAGTAAAGCACTATTGTGTACAGCAAATATTTATCTGTATTCCAAGCAACTTGCTGTAAAGATAAATTTTGTGAACACAAATTTTCCATTGGCTAACAACATAAACACTTGAAATTCTTGTCTTTTCAAAGTCTACCAATGTTTGCTTTCAGACACTTCAAAGGTATAATTTTATTCCTCTCAGTCTGTATTTGAAACTTTATCACCTCCACAAGATGACTGGGTAACATGGGTTTGGGAGAACCACTAACAGGCAGTCCGTTAAGGCTCCTGGGACCAGAAAGGGAGGGAAGTTGTCTGGTAGCAAGTCCCTGGTACTTACTTACCAGGATACTCTATAAAGAATTCACCACTATCCAAGGTAAAGATTCTTAAGGCAAAAATCCATAAAAATATGGGCTATGACAGAATTTGCTGAGATCAGAGCATTTACGGAGCCTCATGTGCCCCACACATTTGGACTCACAACACCTAAACAGGCACTGTGCCCTGACTTGTCATGGCCAATCCTACGTTTCTTCCAGGAACACCAATGAGGCTTGCTGGCTCTCTTGACCTTGGAGATAGTTTTTACTTTACAAAAGCAAAAAGTGCAGTACCTACAATGGGGAAACAAGGTAGCAGCAACAGCTTATCTCCAAATTGGGATATCACTTAACAATTTCAAGCTTTGTTGAGTAAATTTACATTTTAAAAATTTAGAAGTCATTCATTCTGAACTGTTAGACCATTATCAAATTTCAAAAATATGAATCCTCACTCAACTTATAAGTGTATATAAAATCACAAAATAAATGGGTAAATACATACATGGAATCTGAAATCCCCCCTCAGCATGGAACAAAGGTCCTCTGCTACATCAGACATGCAGGGATGCAATGTAGCAACCAATCTTGCATAAAAGGGTAGCAAATCCAACCTGCAAAAGTTATGTGATATGTGTAAAAGGGAAGACATACCAGAAATAATCCATTTTAAAATGTAAACTCTCTCAGACACATTCACACATTAAATGATTATAAAAACTAACAATCATGCAGACATGCCTATTTACTGCCATCATAGTAAAGTACGTGGAAATTCAATTTGCCTTGTGAAGGCTTATTAATAACCTGGTATTTTCCATTCAGTGCATTATCACACACCTGCAAATTTACTGAGTAAGCAATTTTGATAAAATATGAAATACCAAGCGAAGAAAACACCAATTTTTGACACATCTTAAATTTTTAATCACACAATTAATGAGTAAATAAACCTAAAGGTAGCTTAAATAGTACAAAACAGAATTCTTTTAAACCATCTCCATCATTTATTCCTGGGTAAGTTTTTGGAAACATCAATGTCTAAAGTAAAAGCGTAACCAATAACCAAAAAGGCACTTAAGGGTCAAAATCCAGTCACAAACCCACATACTAACTTACGTATCTTACTCGCTCTAGAACCCACTCAGATTCTCGTGCAGTGGCTATTGGCTCTTTCTTTAGAAAATGAATGGCAAGTATGTGGTTACTCATGCTGTCACCCCCTTTCATTATCAGAGCACTTTCTCTTCAAACTTGGATGCAGCTCCAGAATTATGCTTAACACAGCACTCTAGGAAGCCAGCACCAATCAAAGTCAACACACGCTAAAATTTACTTTCCAATCCTGCCAGACATTATTTTATACAACTTGATTATCCAATGATTCAACAGTTAGCAGCTCAGACCCTGAAGATGAGAAGCAGTGAGGAACTAATAAAAGCAGCTGCACTGACAAGTAACAGGAGCTTACAGTAAGGAAGGAAACTAAACACTAAATATTCAAAACAAGAGCTCAAAAATTACGACAGCCTGAAGCCATTTACAACACTAACAGATAATCCTACAAGTCTTAATTATCCCTGAATATATCACTAGAGAATAATACACAAAAATGGTTTGATCATCAGAGAAAAGTCTGCATACCATGAAAGGCTTAGAATTAGATCTTGATAACTCCCGGCATGGATAGATTAAGCCTCAGCTAGAAGGGACACAGTGAAGAAATGGAGGGAGGAAAGGAGGGAGGGAGGGAGGGAGGGATGAAGGAAGGGAGGGAGAAGATGAAATTTGAAAGGTGGAGTCGAAGGGAGGAAAGCATTCTAATTCATGCCTAAGAGCCTCAAAAACTTTCTATTTCTCTTTGACCAATATAATTTCTTTGAAAAAAATTATCGTTTAGTTCTTACTGTGCCAGGCCCTGTCTGAGGCATCTAACATAATTACATAACCTGTTGATTCTATGAGGTAGATATTATAATCACCATTTCAGAAATAAGGGGGCTGATGTTGAGAGAAGTCAAGAACATGGTGGCTTTGTACCTCAATCAATTTTTTAAATGCATCATATCCTTCTTTAAAGAAACAGTGAAAAGGACAGTTGATTATGTAAAGATCTGAATCAAAACATTTAATGGTAAACTTTATTTTAAAAGTTTACATTACTTTAAGTTTTATCAATTGAAAATTAAGCTCCTGTCACACAGAAAATGCACCCATGTGGGTCACATTACTCCTAGATGATATTATAAAAATGAGATATTCCTATAAGATACTCTTATAAATATATAATTTTCTGAATATCTCCTAGTGTTAAAAAGCCTGGGGCAAACAAACATTTAATTTTCTTGCATAACTAATATCAAATTTACTTTTTAAATTTTTAAACTTCAGTTAGAATATATTTTAATATGTTATATGTATATTTCAGTTAGAATATTAGGTTTTTCATTTGTTTTTCATACACACTTTAGCAACAAATACTTTTTTTTCAGTTCGTAATCATCAATTGCCAAATACAAATATCGGGCTTTAAACCCATACCTAAGTTCATTGCTTTCAACTGCCACATCTATAGATCAGAAAAACTAAGATAGAGAGTGAAGGTCATAGGATAATGAAGAGCAATGTACTAGGAGGCTCGGGTTCTAAATCTCTCAAATAGTACTTCTGTGACCTCATAAACTGATCTGACCTCACCTCCTACTAGTGTCTCCTGGTCACTGCTCCGTCTCACTAGCCTGACCCTCACTAACCCTCAACATGGCACACAAGCCCTTACCTCAGAGCCTCCCACCACTGGCTGTTCTCAGGTAGCTGGAATACACCTTCCCTAAATATCCACTCACACTGCTCACTCCCTCCCGAAGGTCAAGTCTTAGTCTCAATGACAGGCCCTCACTGAGACTCATTCTGAATGCTCCACTGAAACTGCAACTCTACACCATCCCAACTCCCAACCCCCTTACGCTGCACTACTTTAGAACTTATCACCTTCTAACATATAATTTACTTACTTCTTACGTTTATTGTTATGATTGGCATAATTTCCCACTAGAATGGAGCTCTATGGGAGATGGTATACCAGCTCTCAAAATGGTGCCTAGATTCTCAATAGATTATTTGTTAGATAAATGAATGTCTCTGGTATCTCTCAGTTAAATATACTGTTAGCTTTTAGTCTATTGTCCAGTCTGTGTTAAGGAAGCATCAACTTATTTTTATAGGAGTAATATTAAACTTGATCAAGTTTTATATTTTATCAAAAAGTTTATCAAGTATCTTCCATGCAATTATGGGATATTCATATAGTTTATTTTCATTACTGATGTTATATATAGTAATAGGTTTCCTATTTAAAGTATTTTCATTCCTAAAGTCAATCCTCTTTGATCATGCTGGATTTTTATTTTAAATATACTATTAAATGATAACGGTAGTGGTTTGCTTAGAATTTTTATATTGACATTCAAAAGTGGGATTGGTCAATACTTTTAACTTCTTTGCTCTTTTTTTGTTAAAATTTTGCCTATTCATACTATGAAACGGCCAAGTTTCCTTTTCTATGCTCTGGAATGAACAATATAGGAGCAAAATTACTTGGTCCACAAAGATTGAAAAAATTAAATAAAGTTATTTAGTCTTAGTCTATTTAAGACAAAATTAACTGATTTTTTTTTTTTACATTTTCTTCCATGATCGTTTGTCTATTTTGTCTTGAGTCAATTTTAGAAATGTGTATTTTTTCCAAATTAGTTTTTACTGAGATTTTTCAAGTGGCTTTTAAATATTTCTAGCATATCATCTGGCTCATTTCTTAAACTTTTTAATGTTCTTTTCCTTTATATTTTCTAAATCCTTCTTAATTTAAATTTTTAAAGAACCAGCTCTTGAGTTCTTAAAATTAACTTTAATCTTGGTTGTCTTTTTCAATAAAATTTGAAATTATAACTTAGCATTAAAAAATTTTAACCAAGCTATGTCATTTCCTTTTTCTTCTTTTGCTGAGCAAGACACTTATACTTTGCTTCATTTTTTTCTTTTTCCAATTAGCCCAATCTACTTCAAAGTTTTTTCTCAGCCCCAAAAGTAAGGTATACATACCTATTTATTTTAAAGTAAAGCGTGTGTGCTATCCATTCAGGCTCCCATCAGTGAACTAACAACACAGGTATTTTCAGCTTCAACATGGATTTAAAAAATAGTTTATGGATTCCTTTGAAGATCTGACTCTTAAGCCTTTCCAGGTAGTTGGTAATCCTGGTTTTTGTTTCTTTTGGAACTGGTCATGTGGAAGTTAGATATTCCATTTTCTCATAATCCTCTACCCCACTAAACTCAACAAATTCTTCTCAAGCTAACAAGTTCATAAAATTCCTCTTTTTCATTATACTTTTACAGTCAAATATAGTTGATAATGTCATCCTGCCCTGTTTAAATCTTCAAGTTGTATAACTCTTCACTCATTAGTTTACAAAATAAAATCCCTTATTGTAAACAATGTAATAAATAATTTTTTTTCAATGTTGGTCCTATGTAAGCGTGCATTTGTTTCTTCTACCTTCCCACAAATGCAAGCCTGAAAGGGAATGAAATGCTAAATGTTGTATCGAGCACAATGGAGTTATTAAAACACAAAATATTTTAAGCAAAATAAAGAAGAAATTTCTTTTTAAATTTAAGGTAGATATATATTTAATTTTATTTGACTTTTCTGAAAGTCAACTAGAAAATAAACATATCTTTCCTTTGACAACTGAACTTCACAATCTTTTAAGAGTGAGAACTGAACTTTTTTTACCAACAGTTTATGAGTGAACCATTTTAAAAAATGTTTTTTCCTTACACAATAAGACCTTGCTTATACTTTCAATAAAACCTTGCTTATACTTATACTCAGGTCTCCTGAGTCACACATTTAAATATCCCCCTAGCAGTGAATGATCATCAAGTTAATAAACATCCAGCCACTAAGTAAGTAATAGCAAGAATGCAGAAAGAAACACATTTGTTACTGAGGGGGGGGGGGGAAGAATTATTGTTTTAATAATTTTTATTAAATTTATTGGGGTGACGGTTAGCAAAATCATACAGGTTTCAAGTGTACATTTCTACAATAAATACATCATCTATATATTGCACTGTGTGCTCAGCACACAGAGTCAGTTCTTCTTCCATCACCATATATTTAATCCCCTTTACCCTCTTCTCACCCCACATCCCCCTTGGAAAAAGGAATTCTTAAAGGTTTTTATCTCATAATCAGTTTTCTAAAAGAAATGTCCAGCCTTTTCTCTCTTTAAAATCTAAAGAATTTAACTTGAAAGTTATTAATTTTATATGTGTTCAAAATGCCTAGGAAAAAAAATGAATGCAAGAGAACACTGTTACAGTCCAATTAAAGAATACAAAGGATTTTCTTCACAGGAAACACTAAAGCAGCTGATGATTCAACAAGACGAAATATAATAAACAAAAAGACTGGGGTCATTTACACTGAAATCAACATCCAAATGCTCAAGAGGACTTTTTTCACAATGCTGATGTCCCAGTACAACAGTGCCATCAAGTGGTACAACATACTAACGGATTTCCAACAGCCTCATTTTTTTCATAG